AGAATTAAGAATTATCGAGAAGTTGAATCAAGTGAACAAAGATGTCGGTTTAGAGACTTGCGTAAAAGTCTCAGATGTGAACCTGTGAAAAACAAGAGGAACAATATTGCCTAAGCAATTTCCTTTCAGTGAACTTGCCCTTAGACAAAATAGGGACAAGGAATTTTGACTAAAGGATGCGAAAAATCCATTGAGTTGCATTGATTCTTTGGCGAGTCTTACATTCACTACTACATAGTACGCTGTAACCGTGGTATTTGTGGCTATGCTCCTCAGCAAAACGATAACAGATTTTTCCAACTTTGACTCTTTGGGCAGAGCAGAAAGAGTTCGATCAAAGCTTCAAGTCCTCAGTTTCTTCAACGGCACAGTTTGCAATAATTTTGGCGTACCTAGTTTTAGAAGTTGATGAAAATGATAGTCCAGAACAGGGCAAAAATGACGAAGAATACATGAAAATCGTTTTCAGAGAAATAGAATGCTTCAAAAAAGAAGTCAAAATAGGAGTTGGACGAGAATGGCGATGGAGGGGTATTCGGACGAGTGTTCGAATGCGCGAGCTGTTGCATACAAACGCCTGCAAAACACTGCCCGTGGGCAAGGTGTACATGGTCCCACTGTGAACGGAACGCTTTTACAACGTTCAAAAATCGTCCACTTTGGGTATGTACATCGGCGGAGCCGGTTCTGATGAACCTTATTACGCCCTATCTTGACTGTTTTTCGACCCGGCAGTGTCCCTTAAGTTATCCTTGGGGACACCGGTTTAACTTGGGGAGAAATCTCACGAGCCACTTTCAACTTTAATTGTGCCTGTGAGGCTTTGGGATGAGCGTGACATGCAATGCCAATGTTCTGGAACCCACGATGATAAATGATAAACGTCTTAGGGAGCAGCTTCCCTGAGACCCTTTTGTGTACAACCTTCAATAGGCTGACGCTCTGGCGGATTGTCTCCTTCAAAACCTCAGAAAGTCATCAATTTGAGACTATTCGACCATACGCCCCGCAGCCCCTCTGTGGTTCGAGACTCCCTGGGCAATCCCATAATTTGAAAAAGGGTCACAAACCGTAACTTTGTAGATTCTCCGAAACCACCCAGCAATTAAGATCAGGATTGTCGGTTAGTCGAAGTCGCTATGAATCTCCAAGCTCTGAGGAAGGCGATCTCGCATAACAACATCCTAATAAAGCTTATGCCCAAAGCTCGGAAAGTTTCGAGAGAACAGCTGAAGACGATTTTCAAACGAATGCATATTACCTTGGCCGATGTTAATCATTGTTGACCACACTACACCCTCGGAAAAGGACGTTCGACGATCACCTATGTTTATGAATAGCTGCTAACAAAGCTGTTCAGCCAAACTCTTTCCGAACTTTGTGTGGAATTCTGCAGATCTTGATGTGACGAGGCAGTTGAGTGCCACCATCTATCAAGTGTAAGTATGGCCCAATAAATAACTGTCACCTTACTGGCTTGCTGAGGTAAAAAAAAAAGACCGACTCTTTCATTTAGTGCAGCTCAATTACAGCAGATACTTCTGGGAGTGTGTGAGAATCAGGGACTCTATAAACTAGCTGAGTTACGTACTGAGACTGTAAGAGGCAAATATAAAGCGCACGGCCGGTCTGAGTGTATGTATTTGTAGATCTGTGTATCCTGACTTCCCATCATCATGTGACTACGAGTTGAGCCCTGGCCCTAAAGGTAGGAGATCGGCATGAACACAACAGTCCAACTGGTATTGAGTATTGAACAACGCTTACGCTTATGATCAAAGTCTTCAGGCATTGATCAATCCCGTCAAAGGGAACCCCCCCCCCCCCCCCCCCCCCCCCCCCCCACTCCCCCACCCTTCATTCAACCTCCATTCAGAATCGTAGCTTAGTGAATGCATCTGTGGTCTACACAATGACTTGTGGTGGCCACCCAATGAACAAGTCAGTGCTTTCATCCTCCCAGACAAGTCCAGTACCAATTAACTGACCCCGAAGGGAAGTAAGCTTGGTTGAGCTGAGAGGATAACGATCCGGGATTCGAACCCGTTACCTTGCGTGTGCGATAATGTGCCACTTGCCATTTTTCGATACTAGCTGAAAAATTTAACTTTGCCGCACAATTTATCGGACGCTGTATTTTTCGATTAGGCCTTGCTCTAAAATGGCGACTCGTAGACAAAGCGCGCAACCTGATACCCCTGCCTATGCTTCTCGTGCATCTTGCTTTCTCCTCGTTCACAGTGGAAATCCTGCTTTTCCACATCTTCGTTCTAGCTATATATCCATATCTTATAGATTTTCAAAACACATCCATCATGCCAAAAAGAAGGAGCGGACTATCAACACCCAATGATCAACAAGAAAAGATTTGACCGAAGAAATGACCTCAGCTTGAACAAGATGGCAGAACAGCTCGAAGACCTTGGCAAATCTTTTCGACTGATAGTGAAAGATGGTCGCGAAGTATAAAGGCAGGGTATGGCTTCTTTCCTAAACAAGCCAACTGCTTGCGATTAAGAAATACAAAATCGAAGGAAACGCGAGAAATTGCGAGGATTCACTTCAGGAGGCCAGTAAAGGGCGCGCCTTGATCTGATGAAATACTTCCTCTGCCGGGGTGCTGCAAAAGATCTCTCTTTGTGTTGATCAATCACGCTCTGAGCGCCCTCGCATTCAACTTCCACCCAACCATCATCCAATGCAGCTCCGGCCAAATGGATGGTCTATTGGGCCTTCACAGGTATTAGTTCGAGTTTCGATCATCTAACCGCAGGGCTGGTAGTGCGCCACATGACACTACACTGCACTACGTCCGCACGATAGGTGTGGGTACTTCTATCCGAAAACGCTCGGCGCTCGCGAAACCCGATCGCGCCCTAAAGGCAGGACTGGAATTTGTAGTAGAGGGATACGGTAACCGCCCACGAATCACTGCTGCTTGCCGTGGGAAATTGGAGAGAAGCGCCGCCTTCCTCGCCCACTTTACTAACACCCTCGAGAACATTCCAAGTTTTCCAGCCCAGCTCCTAAGAGCACGGGAAAGATTGTCACGGTGCATATTTCCTGAGTGAGTGATCAATGCCTGGGGTCGTAGTAGTACCTCGGGCAAAACTCCTTAATTTCACCTTCAAAACCGTGAGACTTAATGGGAAGCTTAATTATGAAAAAAGGAGCCGAAGACAGCTGTGATGTTCCTCAGGCAAAACGTTTTAACTACATACAAACGGAACTAGGCTTCACCCTATGGAACTAAGGAAAGACTCTTCTCTGAAGCAGGGTTTCGAGCCTTCGAACAACTGGGATTTCCCATTTGACATCTTGTGAAAGAGCAGCTCAGAAGTCGAGTCGAAAATCTGATTGAATTGCGAAGATGTCTGATGAAAATGTGAAATTTTACCTATTAATTACTTCCCTGGTACTGTCGATTCCATGAAGAGTCGAGTAGAAGCCTGTATCAAAGCCGATGCTATTCCAATCAGGAAACTCTTCATAACTGTAACATGTCTTGGAATATTATTGTATCAATATAAATTTTTCCCAATGGTTGCTTCGGAAAATGAGATTCTAGCATTAGTCAAATAATAGTACAGATGCCCAGGTTTAAAGAAAGGCGAACATGGAGATTGCTTGAGATTCTAGCATTTTTATGGAGCAAGTTACGTGATTTCACGTAATTTTTCGCCCCCACCCCCTGCACAAAGCATTACATAGGCAAATGGTCAAACCAGGAAGAAGCGTTGAATAGGTGCGACGCAAGAATGCCGGACTTGTTTGGGATAAAAGAATTGACTTGCACATCGACACTTGTTGTTTAAGCTACATTCGCATAGACACAAATGCTGCTACGTTTCTGGCTGGAAGTCAAATGCCAAGAACTATCCTCAACATCAAACGTGAGAAGGTGCGGTTAAAAAGTTTTTAAGGAACATCTCCGGCAGAAATATTTTCATTTTTTAGCTCATCCAGTTTCCAGTTCCTCTTTACTGATTGAACTCCATCCATTTTGAAGCTCTTTGCCTTGAACCTATTCTGAGAGGCGCGTGGGTTCCCTCACGTCATCAGAAACCACCAATATTTCTTTACATCGACCGTCAGCTAAACAACCACATTTTCATCAACATACATACAGACCTACTGATGACCAGTAAAGTGGTTGAATTGAGGTGAGGTGGTCGACCCTGCGATTCAACTGCGCATGATTCTCATGTACCAAACATCCGAACGGGCACAAATAAAAACTCCAGGCTTCTACATGTAGAAGCTAGAAAACTAGAAATCTGGAACCTCAATTAGAAAGTTACAAACTAGCCTATATGAAAGTCTGACTAACTTTGCCCCCAACTTCTAGAGAGTATTTTAGTTTACTTTTGGAGAGTTAGAAAAGCGAGTCAGCAAATGCTTGACAGAAAATAAGATGAACAAGAAGTGCCATGAAGGTTTTGTCAAGCAGATGAGCGTTTGAGAAGATACGCTAGCCGCTACTAACAGTGAAACTGCTGAAAAACTGAATTATTCATATTAGCGTGATTACGCCGAAAGAATCTCCGCCCGCGATAAGCAGTTCAGGTATGGCGGTTTAAGACGCGTAGGGTTCGAGTTTTACAAAAATATCGGAAGAGAAGGTTCAGAAATCGCAGGTAGCAACTCAAACGTAGAGTTACTGCAATTAAAGAAAACTATGATTGGAAATGACCGTCCCGCTCTGAGCCGAAGGGTGCATGCTTAAGAATTGCCTCTATTTGAGATTGCGATCACTCGATTTTCGGTAAAAAAAAGTTTCCATTTCAAGCAAGTGATGCTTATGAGTGAAATTGAGCATTTGTTTGAGGTAATTAGCAATGGAGATTTGTGTTTTGTAAGGCCTCAACATATTTTTATAAGCTCGTTAAGAGAAATCTTGTGTCTATGATCGATTCTCGAGCAGTGGGGGAATATCAATGAGCATCTGGTCCAAAACACGTTAAAAAGAATGCATTCAATTTGTTGTTCCTTTATTCGTACTAACAACTAGGCATTCGGAAAATGCATTTGAAATTTGAAAAATCCATGTATTTCGTCAGAGCTTCAACTTCACACTCAATACTGGAAACTGGAAGCAGCTGCCCTTGGAAATGCAAAATTTCAATCATTTCTGCTGTGACTGCCATTATCCGCTTGTAGTAGGCGTGAACTCCTAATTGCCGAAAAACTGAATTGTTTTTATGCGCAAGGCAAGGTTATGCGGCAGCAAGCGCGCCTATAAATGGCATAGAACCCCACTGCTTAACACACCGCCGGTATGGATTCTGAGTGGCAACATCGATGCAAAGCCTACCGCTTTGTGGCCTATTCGGCCGTCGCCTTCTCCCTAGTCGCCATCCTCGGAGCAGCAACCACTCTGCCGATGGTTTACAACTACGTTCATCATGTGCGCCGCACGATGCACTCTGAACTTAACTACTGCCGGGTGAGTGAATACTCGGAAATTTCACTAAGTGGAATTAGTTCTCTGATCTACAATTGTTCAGACTTCTGCCCGAGACATCTGGTCTGAAGTTAACACAATGAAAATCGCTGGCAACCGTACCGCTCGTCAATCTGGATATTATGGTGGTGGCGATACTGGCGTCCTAGGAGGTGGCAATACTGGAAACATCGGAGGAGGAGGCGGTGGAGGAAACACTGGAGGAGGAAACGATTGCAGCGCTTGCTGCTCTGGTGGAGCTGCTGGACCACCCGGCCAGCCAGGAAATGCAGGACGACCAGGAAACCCCGGAGCACCTGGAGCTCCAGGAAACCCAGGAAGGCCACCAACACAGCCATGCCCACAGTACACTCCTGCTCCATGCAACCCTTGCCCAGCCGGGCCGCCCGGACCACCAGGAGCCCCAGGACAGCCTGGTGATGCTGGACCTGACGGAAATCCTGGACAACCCGGAGCTCCAGGAGGCCCAGGCACACCCGGACCTAAGGGACCACCAGGACCCAACGGAAATCCTGGAAGCCCAGGAGCCCCTGGACAGCCTGGACAACCAGCCGTTTCCGTTCCTGCTACTCCTGGAGCACCTGGACCAGCTGGGCCTCCCGGACCTCCCGGACCACCCGGACCCAATGGACAACCTGGAAACCCAGGTGCACCAGGTATGTTTACAATATCTCAGAAGGTTGTTTATTTCCATTTGGATTCCACCAACCTTTGACTTTGCAGGTCAACCCGGACCCAAAGGACCACCCGGAGGCAATGGTCAGCCTGGTCCAGACGGAAACCCTGGAACTCCAGGAGACAGAGGAACACCAGGAACACCTGGAGAACGTGGAATCTGTCCCAAATATTGTGCTCTCGATGGAGGTGTCTTCTTCGAGGACGGAACTCGCCGTTAGAATTTATATTTCGTCGAGTAGAAAAGGAGCTAGTAATAAATTCCTTTCCACTAAGTGTTCTGAATTTCCTAACACAACTTAGTCATCTTCGAACCAACTTCGGAAACGGAAATATCCTATTGAACGGAAGGAACTGAAAATTTTTTATCTCGCATATCATCATACGACAGCAGGGTTTGACAGGAATCTTACTCCTAAAAGTTTTGAAAAGGGTTCAAAATCCTTGGATAAGTTCCGTGTAACAAAAGAGGAACAGCTTATTTTTTATGCTGATAGAGTGACAGAAAATAAGCCAATTTTTTTAGCTAAGCATACTTTAGGCACTATGTGAGCTGTACCCTTGAGAAGGGTCAATCATCATCGTGGAACAATGTTTTTCTCTTGATTCTGTGCTAATGCTTTGAAGAATCTAATAGAATAAAGAATCCGCTTACCTCCCGTTTGTGGGATGTTTTTTCAAACCCTGAAAATTCGGAAAGGTCTTACAATTAGACAAACAAGCTATGCTCTTGCTGTGATAGACAAGATTGAAATAGCTTGATAACGTAATGATGTGTCGAAGTTCTAAGCGATTGGTAATCGCAGTGCTGTCCAGAGAGGAAAATTTACAATTTACCATCAAGGCTAGAAACTCAATGTTTTCGCTTCTTCATATTGGATCTGGGTAATTATCCTGAGATTCTATGCAGCCACCTTTTGTGGAACAAAACAAAACTGCTGCATAGTACGATGCTTCAGTCACTTCGTGATGATGAATGGCAAATGACGCAATTGGCGAGAGCGAGAGGTACACACTTGGTTCGAAGGAATGCTCTGATGACAGTATCGACCCTCTGCTTATGCCTTCTTCGAAGAAATGCTTACACATTCAAATTATGGTAGATAACTCAGAATTCTGCATCTTTCTCGAAAGTGGAGCCTGAATGACACAGTTTGACATGACTTTTATTTCAAAGAGAATATTCTCCAGGAGGAGCCCACTCTTTAATTAGAGATGTGTCTTCTGGTACTGATTTTGGTGAACGGTTCTTCATCCCTTCTAACAAGGGTTTTGACACGGTATAATGTAATTCAGTGGTCGAATATAGAATATATTGGGATATGCGAAAAGTTCCCGCCGATTTTTTATTCGTCTTCGAATGAAAATTCATAGAAGAAGAAATCCATTTATTGAACAATATATCCTCCATTCTGTTCAATTAGGATTCACCATCTCCCTGTAGGTTCCAGCTACCCTCTTCCATAGAAGGTTCCAGACTTAAAATCGAAAAACCCTCTCAGGTGCTTTTTGCAGTCCTCCAGCGGATTGAACGATTTTCCATTATGGAATTTTGCAGAAAACCAAACAAGTGGTATTCTGATGGTACTATGTCTGGACTATATGGGGAGTGTGGTAAGACATCCCACCCGAGCTTTAGCAACTTTTGACGAGTGGCCAAAAATACGTGTGGTCTGGAGGTACCCTGTTTTAAGAATACGTTCTCACAGTTCTCACGAGTTGCAGACCCACTTGTATTCTGTCGATTGCCATTGTGATCACAAACGTTAGAAAGGAATCCACCACCTATGACCAACATGGACATGAAAACAAAATGGAACTAGCTGCAATCTTTTTTGGTTCAAAGCTAGCTCAAAATGCTTGACGCCTGCGCTTATTTGTGCATACATATTCGAATATCAACTGCGAGCGTCTAAGCGAGCTTCGTTCATTTGGTCAAGTGAAGACTGTTTCATACTTAAAACGAAACCCCTGTACATCTCGGTATCATATCGATACAATGAATATCAAGTGCAGCTGTTTTGTAACAAAGAGCCAAAAAGCAGGGATCAAAGCATCGTTCCTATTAAAGGCATCGCTACTCAAAAATTCTGTCCGCGCTGATTTCGCAATTCCTTATTAGTGCTCACTTTTTCAGCGAGAGGTGAAGCTGATGAAGAACATTAAATGAAAACAAGGGTAAAGAATAGAGAGAAAATGTACAACCTTATCACTTTCACAACATTTCCCTACTTATCTCTTAATACACAACATTGTCAATAAAGTTAGTGATGGAAATAAAGATCATAATGAACAAATGTTTTTCAAAGAAGAAACAATAAAACACCACACGATCAATCTGTTTTACATATGTACTGCAAATTACCTTGGAGTAGGAAGTATGAGGCTCCAAAACGACCACGATACTACCTCTTCATTGTAGCTTGACAGTATTCATTCAAAAAGGGAATTCAGAAATTTCCAATAGCAGAAAAAAAGCGAAAAAATAGCAAAATAGACGATGTAAATAGACAGAATACAAGTGGATCCGCAATCCGGCGTCTAATAATAGTGGCGTCATAGATCGGGCGTATATCAGCTGTTGGGCAGTGGGATGGCCGATTAGCATAATCAGAAGATTGAAACACATGGACGAGTCGTCTATCTCACAAACCGTGTCGAATGGGCGGCGCCAAGGAGGCAATTATAAGCCCATGTGCCCCGATGGCAAGTTTGGGGCGAGGGGCCGCGCCAAACGACCGTCTCCTATTATACGCGTTACCTCCTATCGGGAACCTCTCCGCGCTTTAGTGGCACGGTAAAAATTAGGTTGATCGATTTGGGAGTATTTACGAGTATAGTGAGAAATACAGCAAAGAATAGAAAAAAGACATCAATTAATATAAAGTTTCCGGGGAGGAATCCCGATTTTTACCTCTAATCTCTTCAGGAATTTCTAATCTGAATGCGTACATGTACTACATGAGATGGGAACTCAAGCAAAATTGTAGAGCATTTTCAAAGATCGTTCAGGTGTTAATGAAGTATCCAGGTTAGGAAAAAACAATAAGTAGAACACAGGCCACCACATTTGTTGGTCTAAACTGATCGCCTCTAGTTTCTGCTCAGCTCTTCATGTTGCTATCAGGAAGATGGCAATGGTTTCAGTACTGATCACTCTATTGTCGTTAGTTAGATAAGTAGTGGCAAAGTGACGAAGAAGTGTAAAATAAGAAAAAATCCCATGAAGTCTTCAACTGTAGTGCACATGCGTGCATGCTTTGGTGCAAGAACTCTTTATCGATGACTCTATCAGAACGAAACATGAATTTAACGGCGAGTTCCGTCCTCGAAGAAGACACCACCATCGAGAGCACAATATTTGGGGCAGATTCCGCGTTCTCCAGGAGTTCCTGGTGTTCCTCTGTCTCCAGGGGTTCCAGGGTTTCCGTCTGGACCAGGCTGACCATTGCCTCCAGGTGGTCCTTTGGGTCCGGGTTGACCTGCAAAGTTAAAACGTTGGTGGATTTCAAATGGAAATGAACAAGCTTTTGAGATATTGTAAACATACCTGGTGCTCCTGGGTTTCCAGGTTGTCCATTAGGTCCGGGTGGTCCTGGAGGTCCGGGAGGTCCAGCTGGTCCAGGTGCTCCAGGAGTAGCAGGAACGGACGTTGCGGGGTTTCCAGGCTGTCCAGGGGCTCCTGGACTTCCAGGGTTTCCGTTGGGTCCAGGTGGTCCCTTAGGTCCGGGTGTGCCTGGGCCTCCGGGAGCTCCGGGTGATCCAGGATTTCCGTCACGTCCAGCATCACCAGGCTGTCCTGGAGCTCCTGGTGGTCCTGGTGGACCGGCTGGGCAAGGGTTGCATGGAGCAGGAGTGTACTGTGGGCATGGCTGTGTTGGTGGCCTTCCTGGGTTTCCTGGAGCTCCAGGTGCTCCGGGGTTTCCTGGTCGTCCTGCATTTCCTGGCTGGCCGGGTGGTCCAGCAGCTCCACCAGAGCAGCAAGCGGTGCAATCGTTTCCTCCTCCAGAGTTTCCTCCGCCACCTCCTCCTCCGATGCTTCCAACGTTGCCGCCTCCTAGTACTCCGTCATCGCTACCATATCCAGCTTGACGGGCTGTACGGTTGCCGGCGACTTTCATTGTATTGACCTCAGACCAGATATCACGAGCCGACGTCTAAACAGGAGCTCATCCTAGTCATGAAATAAACTGGCTATGGATAAAAACAGGAGCTATAGTAACTCACACGACAATAGTTGAGTTCGGAATGCATCGTGCGGCGCACATGGTGCACGTAGTTGTACACCATTGGCAGTGTGGTCGCTGCACCGAGGATGGCGACCACCGAGAAGGCGACAGCCGAATAGGCCACAAACCGGTAGGCCTTGCATCGATGCTGATACTCAACGTCCATGTCGACTGTCGGTGTTAGGTGATGGAATCCGGCAGCTTTTATAGGCGCGTCCGTTAGCGCATAACCTTGCTAGTGAAAACCAATTCAGTTTTTTTCGGCATCTGCGGTTTCGCCACCTTTCTGGCAATACGGGGACGATAAGCTGGAGGTGTGGTCTTATGCTTAACTGAGCTAAATAGGTTAGGTTTGTGCAGTAGCTTTTTCTTCAATATCTCATTGAAGACGTGATTCCCATTTCACCTTCCCAGCTGCCACATAGTACGTAGTTCCGTGAAGAAGCAGAAGCATCTTGGACGGGAGAGGTTCTCGCAAGCTGGAGCGCGTAAGAATCTCTCCCCACCTCTATCATTGGATAGATTTCTCTATCTTTAGTAGACTAGAAGTTCCACAAGTCGAGAAACTCATTGAGCAGTGGTTATCTATTTGTCTGAAAGACTGTGTCACACAGAAATACGGATTCACAATTCACATACACAAAACCAGTACTCGAATCGCCAATTGCACGACCTTCAGGCAATGAAAATCAGAAAAGTATCATGAAGATAACATTGAGATACGTTTATCGCATGAAACTTCTCTCATTGTTGGCGCTTACTGCATAGAGTTCGTCCAAGGAATCCCGTTTCCCCACAGTTCATTAGTGAAAGCATTATTTCTATTTTCAATACCTATTCTGAACTTAAAACAGGATTCTCATAGTGATTCTTCCTACTTCTGCTGCAGGTTAGGGATATCCAGTCCTATACCGCTGCCTCTTTAATCAAACCCTTCTCATTTCTCTTCTATTCAAGTTGGATTCTTCATCAAACATGATGATATCATTGTA